CTCTGTTTGGTCTAAAACGTAAAGTTTCGACAAACCAGTTGTCCATTAAAGACTTTTTTGGTAAAAAGAAGTAACTTTGAAAGAGAAACATTGTTTTTTTTAAATTTTTAATGCTTTCCCGCATCTATCGTTTTCCCGCATTCATCGTTTTTATTTCCCACCCCCGCCGAAAACGATGCATCGAGGTTTCACTGTAATACTATTTACATTTCAGGTTTATACTCCTTTTGGGTGACAAATATTCTTATATAGATATTAATATATAATATTTTTATTGTGTCACACGGGCCATTTTTAATGAAGGTGTTTTATTAGAATTTTGTATACATTTGTAATGAAAGGAAGGTTTTCATTCTTAAGGTATGGAAAGCTCAGCCCCTGTGTGAACGTTAAATATTTTCCAGGGGCACTCACTCATTCTTTTAAGTTATACAGTTTGTAATTTTTATTATGTTCTCAGAGTCACTTCATCACCCCATCTCATTGGATGTGTTTGAGAGCACCATGTTTTGGGTAACACGGGATGCTGGTGAACTTGTGAAGCAGGACAAGTTTGGTCGCGGAGTTCCCGTCATTATCACCAAAGACTTGGTGAATCCATCAGGAGTGAAGGGTAAGCATTTATTTTTATGATGCTGGTACTGTATGGCTCACTGATTTGTGGAATGACTATCTGAATGTTTGGCTAGTTGACTGATGAACCGTTCAATCAAGACTAAAAGATACTGAATGGCTGGTTGACTGTCTGTATCTGTGTCTGGCTGCTTGCCCGACTGAATGTACAGTCAAATGGGAGTGTGTTGTGAATGATGACTTAGGAAGGATGATTAATGATGCTGTTATGACCAGCTTTGAGGTACTATGGTAATTTCTAGCAGCTGTTTGTGGAGTTGAGGAGTGGTTCTCAACATTTACTGAATCATGGACTGATAAAACAATAGTTTTCCAAGGATAAGTTTTGTGTCTCTCTCTTGGTTTTATAACAAATCTAATTGTTAGCAAGCGTGTCTAAACGTGTTCATTTGCAATATTAAAAATCATTGCCATTATGTGGTATTAAAATTTAAGGGATGTCCTTTAAAAGTGGGAGTAATATTTACCATAAGCTACTTAGCCACTGAAATGAAAGAAAAGTTTCTAGTTGTAAAACAGTAAATTTTACAGCTGTCATGTAATATAAATGTTTCATATTATAGGCTTATACATTATAATAAAATACAATACAATAGGATGGGGATATGTTATGCTATTAAAAATATATTAATGGTATTATTTGACATGATAACTACTAGAATTTGTAGGCTGGTATAAAGTAACCTGTAAACCACTTGTCCAGGATGATCTTTGCTTGCAACTAATCTAAATCGCATGTTGTGTGTCTGCAGTGTACCACATGCAGCGATACAACACAACCATCAGTAACCCCTGTTTTAATAGTGCATGCACTCACTTGTGCCTGATTGTGCCTGGTGGACATCGATGTGCATGTCCTGATAACTCTAACTTGCGGAGTGGTGGAAGTGAAGTTACATGTGATGCTGCATCTGAAAGGCCTCGTCCATCTCCACGAGTCTGCAGGTGTCAAAACGGTGGTGTCTGTCAAGAGGATGACTCAGGAGGTTTAATATGCCAGTGCCCTGCTGATTTCCATGGTGACTCCTGTGCTGACTATGTGAAGAAAACACTTGTTCCTGGCACTGGTACCAACACAGCTGCTATTGTTATTCCAATTGTTGTCATCCTTTTAATTCTTCTGGCATCTGGAGCTGTGTACTTTGTTCTTCGTAAAAGGCCATTGTAAGTTAAAAAGAATATTTAAATCATTTAGGAAACTTACTGCACTCATGCAACTGAAATAATAAGATGGTTATTATTTGATCATGGACACACGTCTCTTACCTGCAGTTAAATTGTATCATGCTTATTGACTTATTATTTTAATGATACTTCATTAACTGTGTATGTTACATGGTGTAAAATTCTTAAGAAACTGGTGATATTCAAAATATATATTTTGTTAAATATTTTGAAAATTTCAGTTCTTTGTATTGATGATAAGTGTTTGCCAAACATTACTTAAAACGTTCTCTGCCACCTTAACCATTGTAAGTGCATGACTGACCCCAGAAGCTGATGTACTTTTTAAGGGCTTGTGTGAGAGATGAAATTAAACCAGAGTGCTCATTTGTTCAGACAGGCAAAGCTACTGAGATTATTAATGTACATATGCATCACTGTCAGCAGAAGATGTGCATGTCTCACATACATCAAGCAGCAGTACTTTAATTGAACAGATAATGGGTTAAAGGTCAACTCATATCCATTCACAATGGCTAACATGTTCTTTAAACAAATCAAACAAGCATTTAAAAACTTGACCTGAAGTATTTTGGTAACATTTCCTTTACAAATTTAATATAGCAGAGTTATTCTTCAGAAGCTAATAGTTGCTGAAATAGGCAATAAATTATGTGAAGAAGTTTTTGTTCTGGGTTGTTACATCATTTAGCCTGGTAGAAGTGTACTCATTTCAGATGTTCTTGCTGCCTCCATCACTCAGTATGGTGGCTCATTGCTCTGATGATGGAAGCATCAATCACCTGTGAAATTTTGATAAAATTCTACCAGACTACACGGTGCAATATCTTAGAAGACACTCACCTTCATACTCATGGCCATAAAAACCTTAAATATCACCAGAAAATGACCTGTTTCTTATGGAACCTGAAGATTTATTACCACTTTTACAACGTTGTCACCTGATATTAATGACTTTGTCTTTCTTTCTTCCTTGCAGTGGAAAGGGCACTGGTCTAGGTGGTCTCTCAAACTCGCAGAGTGTTTCCTTCCGACAAGGTACCAATGTTGAATTTGGAACACCAGCGTTTGCTACTAATGGCCCACAAGACATAGTGGTAAATATTACTCCTATACGATATCTTATGTTTGCTAAATTACATATTAAGACTCTTAATTGTAATTTTTATGGACTGTGTGTGTTTCTGTGCAAGATGGAAGATTATTTCTATGAATTATTATCATTATTATTTCCTAAATACCGTATATTTGAATGGGATGTATTATTATTTTCTAATAATGGTTTCTTGCATAAGCTCTTTGATATATTTATCTGTGATATATTCATCAGATAGCCAAAAAAGACTGCTACTATCATCTATCATTTTTGGAGACTTTTAAAATGATAAATTCTATAATTAATTCAGAAAAGAAGCACATTAACTCAAAGCTTTTGGAGATGGAGGTGAGGCTTGTAACACCTTCTAAATATGTCTGTATATACATACCAAACTGCAGTATTTAAAAAATAGTTCAGCTGGGTATGTGATTCCGAGGGTATTTAATGGCTCTATTTTAACTGAAAACATTATATTGTTTGTCATGTGAAAAGTCACTAACTGAATTTTGGATGGTTTGTAGAAAAACAAGTTTTACCTGCAGCTACATCTGAACAATGCTTAATAAAGAGTCAGACTCTGTTTCTGTGGTAAAATGTGCAGATATGAGTTAGTGACTTGTATATATGCTTATGAATAAGTTCACTTTGATGTGCTACATAACTGTATTTTGATAAAAATGTCAATTAATTATTTTTTCCATGACCCCGATTTGATAGTGTCAAATGAAGTGAGAAGATGATGGTGATGAATAGTTAGCAGATAAGGACTTGGAGGGAAGTGGTCATGGCCATTTCAGTATATTATCTCTGCATTAACTCAGATACTGAGAAAACCTGAGGTTTGGTCCATGTATGTTACAAGTATAAATGTACAGCTGTACTGTTAAGTGACCTGCAAGGTTGCTGAAGATTTGCACGTACAGTAATGCCACTAACGAACTTCTCATGATATAACAGATATGACAGTGTTTGAATTTGTGTTTTATTTAGGAGCCCATGGATGTGCAATACAATTTGAGAGACATAAGTGCTAAGAACAGGGACTTCAGCAACCCCATGTATGACGCACTGGATGGAAGTGGTCCAACGGGAAATGGGGGCAACGGTGGAGGTATCTACGAGGTGCCTTCTGATGTAACAAAGTCAAAGGTTATGGCTGGTAATGGAGAAGTAGAAGTACTGCCTCACCCTGAGCCAGCATCAGCCATTCTTGCACCATCTAGTATCATACAGAGGTCATCCCCTCAGATTCATATTCGACATCGAGAACTGGATCCTAGTTCTACTGATACTGGCAAGGACACCCAAAAACTTGTTGAGGAGGACAAGTCTGAGTGCTAATCACTGTTTAGGATTAACACTTCCACATGTGGCTTAGATCAGGGGTGCTATCACAGTAAGACAATTTGACTCACAACAGAAGGCAATGGACACTCTTAATGAGAAAGAGAGAATGCATACGTATCAAGATTATATTCCAACACTCCATGTGTGTGAGAGTGTTGGGTTCAGTGTTTACAGCCTGACTTGTTGTTCTTCCTAACAGAACACATCATAATTGATTATTGGTTATACTGGTTACTGAAATTATCCCCTTTTATTAAGGACTCAAAATGAAGTGTGGGAGTTTATCCCTTAGTATAAAGAGGAGACTGGGCAAAGATTTTGGTGAATTTTCTCACATAATGGCTTAAGAAATGACAGGTCACATATTGGAAAAGCATGTTACAAAAAGAAGATTCAGTAGAAACCTTGCTGATGTACCTACTTGGAGAGCTGTACTATTTGTAATATTAAAATTGTATTATGATCACACATGATAAGGACAAGCGAAGCAAAGCAACATTATTTAATGTATTTTAAGAAGAGGACAAGACCATTTGGCTTGTGTGTTAGTTCTGTGTTTCAATGAAGTGCACTGTGTAATGCTGTTGGAGCTGTGAGTGGCACTGATGGTCGTTGAGCTGCTACACAGAGACGATGGCTTCACCTGTCAGTTCTGAGTTATAAAAGTTGTAGTACATCATTTAGGGTTTACTGCTGTGTGCATCCTGACTACATCCATTATAATAACCAAAAGTTAAAAAAAAGTAACATTTTTTTTTTACAAATTTAATGACTGATGATTGATTAAGAGATATTGAAAATATTTTTCTATTGGCCATGGTAAATGTTTGCATGCTTGCAGGTGCTGAGAGGGTGTTGAAACCTTCCAATGTTGTGTATATATATTTTAAAGAAACACTGTAAATTTTATTTAGGGAGAGACTTATAATAGTCCTGGAAAATATTTCTTTTTCCTGTGGTCTGTTGCTTATTTGTTTGTTTTTTAAGAAGAAATTTCAATGACATTTCACATCTACATGACTGTCAGTTTTAATTCCTTTTTTTCTCTAACAATGTTCTTTACTTTTTTAATAAGTCTGACAGATGCCAGGTATGGTTCAACATTCCAGAATTATGTGTAATTTATTTGCTTGCAGTATCAGCACACTTTTCTGCTTCACTGTGTGCCAACAGGCAAACAGGTTACTATATAATATCGTGCAAATATCAACATAAGACCGTCCATAATATTGATTGAATTACATTCCTTTCTTATCATTCCAACCTAGGATGTTTTAAATATATAGACTTGAATTGAAGTCAGATGGAAATGTTTAATACAGTTAACTGTTCTTTCAGAGTATTGTACAGAGTTATTTTGTGGGGGAGTTCTAGTTGTGGAGTATCTTCTGGGCTTTAGTTAGAAACATAACATATTTTTGTGAAATTTTCACTACCTATGAGACATTTGATTGTAGATTTTATACAGTTATACTTAACAATTGACATATATAAGGTAGTACACTACATTTTGCATTGTTCAGTTTGTCTGCATTATGTACTTACAATAGTCTAACTAAAACCCTGTGGATAAGACCACACTAAATTCTTGTACAGATTATAATCTACTTGTATTAAAAAAACAATTTTATAGTAAAGGTAACCCAGTGGGTTGTGTTTTTCATCTAGCTGTTTTAAAATTCAGAACATGTTCAGATTGTTACTGACGTCTGTCTTCAGAAACTTATTTTTGTTGACTGTTCTTCCCCCAATTATTTTACATCATTATTATGATCTTCTTAGTATAAGTTCTAGGGAGGTTTTCACAATGTCTGCATTTACTGTACAGACTTCTAGTTTTCTTGTTACCTTGTCAAAATGATAAAAATTATTTATGTTTTGTTAAAACTTACTGCATTCTTTGGGATCAGTCTTGAAGGAGGTCTCATGAAATGTTTGTAACTTCAATCATTTTTGACATAGTCGTATATCGAGATGAACCTACAATCTGGACAATCAGGGATGGGCTTAAAGGATGCTGTCTTCATTATGACGGAGTCTTGTCTCTCTGATGACCTCCCGACACTAGGGGAAGTTTATATTTCTTACATGTGACTTGATATATCCATTGTAGAATTAATTTGGTTTCTAAATAGCACCATCAGCTATATTCAACCACCTGACCTCACCAAACTTTAGTGGTTAATATTCCTCCATATTCTGGAAGTATTAAGTTCAAATCTCAACCAAAAGACTGGCCATTCTTATTTATGTGGTTGTGGTTCTGCTTAGTCCCTGAGAAAATGTGGGATAGTACCTTCAGATATACCATGATGGCTTCCTTCCACATCCTTTCCAATTCATGATTGATGAACATCATGCCATTTGACACTACATAACCTATACATATGAGAAAGTGTCATTGAATAACCCAAGAATTAATCGTCTACTGCCTGCATTAGGAGTCTTCATTAAATTTATCTTATTTGCAGTTTCAATCGTTCATTTATTTTTTAATTTAATGTTTTGTGGGATTCTGTGAGTTCAGGCATAAGATACAACAATACCAGAAATAGCATTCAGAAAACTTACTTTGTTTTTCGGTTTTTAAATTTATGACAAGAGATCATGCTTACTAATACCTGGTTGTGTCCATGTCAGCAGGCTTCATTATGAAGAAGTATTTAAAAATACCTGGACAGTAGCAAAATTTTTTGGTTCAAGTCAGATCTGTGTTTCATGCCCCTCGTATATTTATTCACTTAAATTCGTTGATACTTATCGCTACTTTTTATTTTTTTATTCCTAATAGAAAAAGCTTTGAAAGGGAAGTGGGAAGCAGATAACATGTTTTAAGTTTTGGGCAATAACAAATATTCAAAACATAACATTCTTTTTCATGGTGTGAACAACAGTAATCAGTATATTATGATTAATTTACCTTTTTACAAGATTCATAACATGTTTATTTCTTGTATTTTAACAGAAATGGTGTTCATGCAACATGCCATTACATGCTACAAGAAAAATACCTTTTAGAGTTTTATTTTTAAATATTTTCAGATGGCTTCTTTTCTTATGGCAGCACACTCAGCACAAGTTAAATATAAATGTGTTAATGAAAAACAGGGAATAATGTAGTTCAGGAAACAAATATAAACTGCTTTGTCTGTTCATTCTGAGTGTATTAGTAACACATTTTGTTGCAAAAATTAATTGAAATCGCCCATTGTACCGACACTGATATGCTGACCTGTACATAAGGGGATATTAAAAAAAGGCTACAATTTTATGCAATTGGTGTCACCAGTTTTCATTCACTGAACTTTACAGAAGAAAATTGTGGTAATAATGTGATCAACTGGATTCTGTTCTGTACAGGTAAGACTACTGATTGCCTTATATTTGGGGATGCATGTACGCTTCTAAACATGTATGTTAAATTTGCAACAAGACCAAGTGATTCTCCAAACAAAATAATTAGATAAATATTTTATGTCCTATTATTTTATATGACAAACTGTTTAAAAAATTACTAATAAAACTGAACTATCAGAGCGAATGTTCTTTGTTCTGTGTGTTCAGCATACATTTCATAACTTTCATGATGCATTCTTTGTTTAAAGTGCAAAAATGAAGGTCTTAAATGTTTGTCAGATGTTCCATTTTTGAAAGTGTTCAATAGTTTTGGATGAAGTTTGTTGTTGGGGGGGGTCTACAGTAAAGTTTTTAGGCAGACTTAATTTTGGTCTATATCAATCCACAATAAAAAAATGTGTAAGTAAAGTTTGTCCTACTATACGCCATGTAGGCGTTTGGGGCGAGTGGAGGTATAGCTCCTCTCTTCCTTGACCTCGGCACTAGATGTATGTAACAAAAATATTTTTTAGTGTCTACAACTTTGTTTTGAAACTTTTCTCAGTCATTAATTGTGTGCAGTTTAATATTTTTAACTTTGACTAGCTTCATCAATAATTTAATTTTTGAGTTATACATAGTGTATTGTCACTATGCCAAAAGATATTCCAAATTGTAGTGCACTTTTAAAATGTTTTAATAAAATTACTTCAAATGCCTTTTACTTCAGTGTTTAAGAACTGATTTTTTTGTGTTTACTACTTCTCAGCACTAGGGCAACATATTCAAAATGGGTGAAGTGACCTCCAAATATCATTTCAGTGAAATATCCCTTTCAGTTTGTGTTTATAAAAATACGATCAGTACATTGGATACATTGTTTTGAATTACCTAGAGCAACAGATGAGAAAGGAGGTTATTAGTAATAATGTGGGTATGGTTAATTACATATGTGCAACTACTGCCCCTTCTTTGCAGTATTAAAACTATAAAATATTTTCTGTGCTTGACATCTTGCCATGGTTTTCTTTGACAATGTAACTGTGTGTTTCGGACACTGACTGCATAGAGATAGTAGTGAGGTAAGTTTTCTATCGTGGTGACCGTTGAATGATTCATACCATAGCACAATTGACCTGCAATCGAATACGTAATTATTCGAGTATGAAATTGTTCCGCAGTTTTTCCTTCGGTTGTGTGCTTCACCACTTAAAATTGTATCCGAGGCTTGTAGTGTTCTTCTTTTGGTCTTTTAAATACAAATTGAAAATTGTAAATTATGAAATTGTGTGTTTTATTAATAAATTTGATATGCATCTGCTTCATGTAATGTAGGTAAGGGAGATTACGTTTGTCACGGAGATTTTTGCACACGTGCATGTTGATTCACTATTGTGCTATTCATTCTTTATCTGCAGAAGGAATACGAGATTCGAAGATGGCTATTTTCTGGATTGTAGTACCGTGTAGTCTGATAGAAGTTTGCGGATGTTTCAGAGGTCCTTGCTGCCACCATTATGAGGGCGATGACTTCTTCCAGACTTCACGGCGCTGGAACTCAGAAAACTGCCATCTTCGTATTACTTTTAGAACATAAAATCCTTCGTAATATAAGTTTCATTTATACCACCGTTCATTTAAATTCTTTATTAACAACACTTATCTGAAGGAAATAACAAGGGACTAGTAAAAGTTACATAAGGAGAAACTTTAAATATTAGGATCAAATAAAAGAGGAAACGGTGTGTTGTGTGTGTAGCACATATGATGGACGTAACGTGAAGTGTTCACTTGGGAAATGTTGGCATAGGTATAAGGATAATATTAAAACTGATCAAAAATAAATATAATGTGAGAACAGGGCATGATTAAGACTTTGTACTTTACTTATGTCTGAAGAATTTTAAATATATTTGATACTGGGGAGTTTTATTGAAATTTGTCAGCATGTTACAATTTTGGTTACAGGTGGACAACAATATTTTACTTTACATGCATGAGGACCTACATGAGTTCTGCATGGATCTTGAGTATTCAAGTACTGTTTGTAACAAAAAATGTTTAGAACAAAATTTATGAGTAAAAATTATACACACATATTATGCCCAGTGAACTTTTCTGTAAACCTTACAGTTTTGAGATAATTGAAAGCTATTTTATGATATCATTTCATGACTTGACAACTGTTAGACTAATTTTAATAATGTTTTATATTGGTAGTTCTTGCTTCTCTGCCTTCCCAGTTTTATGCTACTTAAAAGAGAGCATTGAAATTTGGCATTCATGAATTGAAAATCTAAAGGCAACACTATGCCAGAATTGTTATGCTTTGCATACATTTTTAACTTTTCAGTAAACTTAGCTAAATCTACTGTCCTCTGATTTGATGCAGGATACATCAGTGCCTTCAAGGTCATGAAAATTGTTTTAAGCCTACTTTCTTATTGTCGCATTAGCATTCTGTAATCTCATTTGATGCTAAATGATTTTGCATTTGACACAGTGCTATTAAGTACACTGCACAAAAATAATCAAATAAACCAAGTAACCAACCAACCCCAAAATATATTGTACTGTTTCTTGTTTTATTTAATTATACTATTCCAATTGTAGAGGTTGTAAGTATCAAATGTGGGAACATGATGAATAGGTACAGATTTGGAACGAGATAGTCGTAGACCCAGCATTTAGCTACGGAGACTGAGGAAGGCTTTGAAAAATCTCAGGATAATTGATGTCCTTACTCTGATTAAAATTTATACTTCATGAATACAAGTCCATAGCTAAAGTAATACACCCATATTCTCAGCCAGAGTATTTTGTATAGGTCGCACGAGTATTTATGGCACCTAAATGTGCAATGTGTAAGCTGAGAGAGGGGAGTTCAGTAGTAGTGGGGATCACAGCCTCACAGTGACACACTGATCTAAACACAGGTAGAGCTACAAGCCAACTGAAGCTGACACCCCTGTAGTGCATGCTTTGGATGGGTCCATCTCATACGATCAAAATCAGTCCTTTGCGCAAATGCCAGCACTTCTCTCGCGCGACCTGTATTATACAGAAGTACATCATGGTGTAAGAAGTGACAGTCACTAATCTGGTTAATAAACATTTATTATCATGGGACATTTTACAAAATTCTCTTAGCATTGTTGACAGACTGTACAAATGATTATATTTGTGTGTAAGTTTACAGTTAACATTCTGATATACAACAAGTACATTTAAATATATATATGTTTAACAAGAAACATGTAGCTAATGTATTTTGAGCACATTTTTTTATAACAGTCCAACAACTTAAACCTGATTATGCAGGCATAATTAAAAAATATGCATAATATTTCCTTACAACATAAATATAAATATAATATAAATAATCCTTGTTATGATCATTCTGAATTATAACATCTTATTCTGTAATAAATTCATATTAGCACGCTTAAGTTTGTGTTGAATCTTTCAAAATTCAAATTATGCTACTTAACTAGTTTTAGAAGTTCCCTGCATGGTTCTGAATACTGACTCTGTGCACAAATTACAAAGGTTGCTTTCAAATGGTCTTTTGTGACTTGGTTTGGTTGGTCTGAATGAAATTTGAGGTTTTCAAAACTATCACTCTGTACTTCGTTATCAAAGTCGAGGATAAAAACTTTGACAGCATTTCAGGGGAACCTGCTACGTATTGATAGTATATATTTTTTAATGATAAAATGTAATGGCAGTGCAGTGAACATGTTAGTTGAATTTAATTTTGCTCACTTCCTCTAAGCCTCGTCTTTTACTTGTCAGCAGGTACCCATTGTGCAGTCTGACTTCAGCTGTATTATTGACTACTCAGAGCCGAGCGAAGTGATATCAAGCAATCTTTATCAGTGGTCCTCAAGAAGTAGGGTATTGGCTCCACTTCAAAGTTTACATATACAAGGTATTTTAGTTATTATTTCTAAATTAACATTTTTCTTGGTATTGAAGCCTTTAAAATCTGCAGACACAATGCATATTTGTCCAGTATTGCGATGCTGGTAACCAAGCATTTTCCATAATAATTGGGGGAATTTGATACATATCAGAACCAGATTGTATCTTTTAAGAGTACGTAATTTGTAAATAAGTATAAATAATGAATTAAAAGGCTGAGACTTGCAACTTATTTTGGTAATGCCTGGAATTTACTGAGCTATTTTTGTGCGCATGTTTCTTGGATTGAGTGCACATCACAGTATCTATTGCTCAGTCCATATGCACGTAGCGGCAGATTGCGTTCTTCGAAACCAACCAGTGCTTCCCCCACGGTGAACTCTGAGGATAAACGTATAGAACCAACATTGGAAATGAGTAATGGAGATGTTTGAGAACAGGATGCTGAGGGAAATATTTGGGTGTGACAGAGTTGAAGTGGGGAGGGGGGGGGGAGATAATTGTATAATGAGGAGCTTCACAACTTGTACTCTCCACCAGAGTGTTCAAATCAAGAAGGACTAGATGGGCAAGGAGTGTAGAATACATTATAGCAGTGAGAAATATATACTATTAGTATATTTCTGTTGGAAAACATTAATTTAAATCAAGAGACAGAGTTTGGGACAGGATCTGTTGGTCAGTTAATGTGAACATGGTAATGAAATGTATTTTTTTTACAAAAGATGGCGGATTTATTGATTGACTGAGTGACTGTTAGCTTCTCAAGAAAGACTCTGCCCCATGGAGTTAGTTAGGTCTGTTATTAGTGCCCATTGTGGGATTGTCATGCGCATCCTATCGGACACTGTTTGCACCAGATCCCATACAGTAAAGAATAATATTCATAAACAGCAAAGAGAACCTATCATCTAGTCTAAAAAGGCATAATTTAAAGTGGCATTAAACATTTGTTTAACACACACTCTTTTTATACAGTTGAAGAATGTTTAAAAATTACTCACAGTCCTAATGATATTTTGTTTTTATATACTGGGAAACTGGGAACGACCCGTTCTTCAAGTGCCTGAGCACTGCGGGTCCCAACTTTTCGTTGGCTTGATCTATAGTCATTTGGTAGTACTCCTTGGACGAGGGATCGGCCCATCACAAGGCCTCTACCTGTACACAAGACAGCACAACACAGAAAAAAGCAAACAGACATCCATGGCTTGAGTGGCATTCGAACCCACGGTCTCAGCGACCAAGCGGCACAAGGCCCACGCCTCAGACCTCGCGGCCACTGCGGACCAACAGTGGATTTAGTGTAAAATTTTAATATTTTTGTGTTAATCTTTGTCATTTATGAAACCTAATTAATATTTCATATTGCACTCATTTATATGTCTTGTTCCACATCCTGTAGTCAGTCTAACTTTTAAATCCATGGAATGTGTATATGTTTGTTTGTTTGTTTGTTTGCATACTCTAATCTTAGTTACACACTTTAAACAAACTAGGTACAGGTTATTTTCTAACAAATACAATTCTGTGCAAATAATCTTAAAATCATATATCCAGGTACAAAAATCTATCTTTGCGTGTCTTTTCTTGACAAACCCCCATCAAAAATTTTTGCACTCCCAGTGGTATATGGAAGCACAGTCGGATTAGATGTAACTGACGTGGGATACGTCGTGACATGACAGTACATGATCTGGTTTGGCGGGGAAAATAAATAAAAAAGCATGGAGTATGGTTTAAAATTTGAATGATGTTTGCAAAGTCACAGAGTTTATTACTGAAATTAAGTTAAACTGTTAATTAAGGTTTGTAATTGTGATAAAAAATAAAATATATATTTCTGTGACAAAAGTCTGCAGATGTTTGTTTTATATACTTCAGAATCTCGTTGTTGACACGAGCCAGCACATATTATCTCCATGATGCAGGGCCCTTCTACGGAAGTTGATAGTTGCGTATCTGCTGTTACGCGTAGGTATCATTGTGTTTGGCGTGATGTAATGCCAGTTTGGAAAATAGGTAACATTGATTTTTTTTTTAAAAAAATTTTGATTTTAGTAGTCACTAAACATATCGAGCAAGAAAAGATTTTCAGGTGTCTCATTGCTTCTCTTGAAAATATAATTATTTTATGCAACATATAATAGGCCATAATAATTTTCTGCTTACCCTCCCCTCTTACCATAGAATATCTAGGATGATAAAGTTTTTTTTAGAACGTTTGTTACAAAATAAGATTTATTGATGGGGGAAACAACATTAATGGCAGAATAGTTTATATACAAATCTGGAAAATGTTTTAGTTTTCAATAGACCCACTTAAATTAGAAACTAGATTTACTACTACTAGTTCTTTTTTTATTGTAGTGTGTGCGATGACACCATAGACATTTATAAATTACCGTGTTTGTATGTTTAACAGTGTACTACTACTTACAGAGCGTAACTTTAGAATATTGACGCTGATGGATCGTTAACTTTGTGCTGTTCCGTATAATGGTAACATTAATTATGAAGTCTCTTCTCGCCTCTGCTGTGAATTCTGTAAATTATTTTCTTTTAGCTTCAAGAAGTTCTAACAATTACATGTTGTAATGGCATTTTAATGGAAGTTTGGTGCTTCTGAAGGTCTGGTATTCTTGCGACGTTTTGCACATTGTCCGAATCAAAGAAGATGTATAATATTTTGAAAGCGCGCTTTGTGTTCGAGTAAAAGGAAAGGTACCTGATACATAACTAGCCAGATTGGTCGAGGGGGAGGGGTCAGACTAAGACAGATACCCTGGTCCTCCAGGTTGGGGGTTGGTCGCAAGGCTAACAACCTTGCACCGTAAAAAGGAAGATGTTTCGAAACCTCGATCGAAGCCTCGGACAGACGGGCCTAGCAGAGGACCGAATGGAAGAGGAGAATTGAGGAGGCCATGGACCGAATACGGACCAGAGAGCCATAGAAGACTCAGAAGAAGATACATAACTAGATCTACAGCATTTCTGTGTCTGTCTTCAAGTAAAAGAAGTACCTACTGTCGGATTTGTTAAATAGATCTCCAGGTTTGGACTGGTTCTTTGTGTCGTAAGGTGAAAGGTAACGTTGCATCTGTAGTGGAAGAAGTGCTGCCACCTAATTGCAGACGAAACTGTTATGAATTACGTTATGTAGTATGACGCAGTAGGTTACGACAGCTTTAATGTAATTCTTTTGACGTGTTAACAGTAATGGGTAACCAGTGCAGTGCAATGGAGAAAACATCAATCAGTCAATTAGTGATTTGAGTTTAAGAACTCGAAACGAATTTAGATCACTATCTTTTATGTCGTATGATTCATATTTTATTATTTTACCCAAGAATTTAAAAATAATGCTATCTGGTATAAAATATGCCACGAACAATCATCAAAACATGGCATTAGGCCATCTACCTGAAACATTCTGAACATTTTAAATTGTTTATATGCAAGTGCGCAAATGCGACTGTTTATTGCAGGGGATACCGACTTCTTATCGGCGTTGCGGTTTGGGAAATACCAGTGTGTGTGTAGGCAGACATGCATTGTAGTGTAGATACTCAATGAGAATGCTCTCGAATTTTAAAATGTTTCCTGTAAAAACATTTAATTATGATATACAGTAATTTTATATCAGTTGAAAGTCTGTAACATTGCTTGCTTCGTTGTCCTATATAGGCCTATTGGACATCGTCCCTTTCCTGCCCGTACACTGGCAACCAATAGAAATTACCGAAAAAATAAGAGTTGAGACAATTTCCGAAAGCTGCATATCAAATATAGTTTAGACAATCGACAGTGTTCTCCCTAATTTAGTAATTATGATCTGCTATAGCTATTGAAAGAGGTGTCTTACGGTTTTCAAAAGCATTTCCCAGTGGCGAGAGATTTTTTCTGTGGCAGTAGCTAACTTTCTTTCTGTTATTGCCATAAAAGATCTTCAATTTAAATTTCCTGCAAGTAACTTTATTTCTGTAGATTGTTTCCTGAAGTTTCCCTTGAGGCGGAAATAACACGTTGATGTACACCATTTCCATTCAACTCAGGCCGAGGGCTTTCGTTGAATTTTGTGCTGGATATACGCAAAATTCCTTTCGTATTCAGTGCTGTTGACAGCGTTTCAAGACTTTGTGTTGTTGGCACACAGATCAACTTTGGACGGTACCAATGTTTATTGATAAGTGTTTGATGCCACCTTCGTGCCTGCATTGGACTG